ACTGCACAGACAAAATCTGGACCATGGGCAATTTCATTTCTAAACATACCCAATACATTTGTAAAATATTGTTTCTTATTTGATTCTATTAATCTCTTGGTGGTTGTTCTATTTAAAAGATCTTTTCTATGCTGTTCATTCTTTTTATATGTTGTAGTACTCCTTGTCTTCACAGCTTCTCTGTGCGACGGATTATATTTATATTTAGTAATGCTTCTAGACTTCACAGAATCCCTGTGTAATTCATCATCTTTATATTTAGTAATGCTTCTAGATTTCACAGAATCCCTGTGTAATTCATCATCTTTATATTTAGTAATGCTTCTAGATTTCACAGAATCCCTGTGTAATTCATCATCTTTATATTTAGTAATGCTTCTAGATTTCACAGAATCCCTGTGTAATTCATCATCTTTATATTTAGTAATGCTTCTAGATTTCAGAGAATCCCTGTGTAATTCATCATCTCTATATTTAGAAATGCTTCTAGTTTTCAAGCACTTTCTGTGTGATTCATTAGCTTCATATTTGGCAATGCTTCTAGTTTTTATAGACTCCCTGTGCTTTTCATTTTGTTTATATTTGGCAATGCTTCTAGTTTTTATAGACTCCCTGTGCATTTCGTCATATCTATATTTTGTAATGCTTCTTGTCTTCACAGCTTCTCTGTGAGACTTATTATTTGCATAATGTTGAATCGTGTTCTTTTTTTTTCTTTGGCAAAAACTGTCATCATTGTAATATCGCTCTCGCTCTTTCTCTAGTTTACGTTTTTTAGCCACATGTTGCCCAGTTTGTTTACCACTTCGTTTTCTTTGAACATATTCTTTCCAACATTTAAGATAGGCACGTCTGCCCTGAGATTTTGTAATTTTTGTTGGTTTAGTTAAAGTGTTTGGTACATCATCTGACTCTATATTGCTATCATTTTTAAATAATTTCATTGTTGTTCCAATATCAGTTTCTGTGCTTTCTAAATGTCTTTTCTTCATTCCAATTTTTGACACCCTGTCTTGTTTCATAATATTGCTCTGGAAGCAGTCACACAACACATCACCAGCATGCTTGACACATTCAACCACTTCATAATGTATTTCCATGGCGTGTTTTAAGTATATTGCTTTTCCATTATTGGATACACTCTTGTTAAGCTGATAGTTGGAGTATTTAATCCATTTACCTCGGCTAAATGTGAAAATATCTGTTCTTAATAGATCAGCAGCTCCAAGTATTTCAACTTCCGTTGCCCATG